TTTCAAAAGCTATCAGTTCCTCAAAGCGAGCTGCACTGTCTGTGTTTTATAGTGTAAACACTTATTAGGTTGGCATTCCATTTAGGTGCATTATTAGTTAACGGGAATCGTGGCAACAAAATGTGAGCAAATATTTATTGAAACCTTCTAATGTGTTTGTTATTATTATAATTTTTTTACCCTAAAGGTGCGAGGTACATTACTGAGGGGAGGGTCTATAATATATCAATATATAACAGGCAAAAATGAGTTGCAGAAGTACAAAAAAAAATTTCACAAAGGCTAAATGTAGGTATTTAGTTTGTTAAAAAGACATTTTTAAAATGTATGGGGTCTTGAAGGCTTGTCATAGAGCCAGGAAGCTGGTTCTATTCCCTATAAGTTTTGGGTAAAAATGACAATGAATGGGCAATTTTGTTACTCTTGGGCACCTGAACTTTCTCACGATGATTGAAGTGCGCTGATATGAAAGATAGGGCATGTATCAACAATGAAGATATGTGTGAGTTATGATAGTAAATTTTATGATAAAGACATAGGCTAGAATGTTTCCTGAAAACAGCAAGGAAAGGAAGTTGCAATGATGCTTTTATGGTTGTTACGTGGGATGTTCTATAATAATTAGATATAATGAAACGGGCAGCAAGGTTTCGTATTGCCTCTATGCGTTGGATTAATGTATTAAGGTGTGGGTCCCACAACGCTGATTCGTACTCAAGCTGTGGGTGGATGTATTTGGCTATTAGAGTTGTTTGGAACCAGATGGTTATGCGTGGAAGTTTCTGCAAAGGTAACCTAGAGTACAGTATGCTTTAGTTGTGATATGTACAATGTGTTTATGCCAAGATAAGTTGTTGGTTATATGTATTCATAAGTACTTATATGATGTCACTGATTCTAATGGTTATTATTTATGAGATAGGCAGGATCTGCCATAGTAGTGCATGAAATTCGCAGAGCCTTGCATATACTTATGTTTAATTTCATGTGCCAAGTACGGCACCACTCATTCAGCGTTCAAATCATCCTGAAGAATGGCGAAGTCATCGGTGCTAGTTATTTTACGGTAGATTACGCAATCATCTGCAAACAAAAATATATGTAAGAGAATGTCAGTAGGCAAGTCATTGTTGTAGTTTAGGAATAATAAAGGACCTAGTACGGATCCCTGTGGCACTGCGAACAAGACATGCGTCGCAGGTGAATATGTATCGTTTGCTGAAACGAACTGAACCTGGTTGTCAAAAGCCTCAGTCTATTTAATTACAGCAGGGTCAGTGTTAAGTATTCATGGTTTATGTAAGAGTAGGCAGTGGTTTGCTTTGTCAAAAGCCTGAGTAAAATCAAGGAACACACTGTCAGTAGGAAAGCCCAAGTCGACATTGTTATGCAAATCATTAGTGAACAGTAGAAGCTGAGTGTCATATGAATTTTTTTATTGCGAATTATGGACGCTCTTGGCTGGATTTTGCTGCTGGCATTGGCGTCGGCGTCACTCATCGTATATGTATATGTATTTATATATATGAAAAGGCAAGAAATAAAATAATCCAGAAAAAGACTCCGGCGCTCGTGAATTAAACTTGAGACCTCTGAAACGTGAGTGCAAGGCATTAACTACTGAGCCACGAAAAGGCGCGTCCTTCAATGTTCAAAACAGCAAGCTATTTATATCTACCACTTACTGCTATTTACGGACATCTTGAAGGGAACTAGCACATCGTCACGACATGGCGGCATGCGCTCTCACCTCCCACGCTTATTTTGCCCCGCGGAGAGGAGGGGGTTCGACGCTCGCTCGCGCACCCTTATCTCACAGTGAAGAGGATCATACAAGTCTTGGCGGGAATTGGGATTTCACCGGAACAATTCTGTTGTAGTTACCGGGTGCACAAAGGTCACTGCAATCGTTGCACAGTCTCCGTTAGCGAAAAGGGTGAACTTTTCAGACACAGCGAAGTAACATTGATTGATATGTGGGGTTTAACGTCCCAAAACCACTATATGATTATGAGAGACGCAAGCGAAGTAACATTGATTGATATGTGGGGTTTAACGTCCCAAAACCACTATATGATTATGAGAGACGCAAGCGAAGTAACAACTGAAACGCTTATTCGCATTCATTTGTACCTGTGAGTACGTTTCTGTGTTATTTGTGCATGAGAAACACAGGGCACGTTTCGATCTGCTTGCTATTCTGCGCGTGACCTTCCAATTTATTGCTATTGCGTTTATTGCTTTGCTAGGAGCAAAGCTATCTTTTTTTATAAAAGTCATGCTGAAATAGAGTAAAAAAATTGTTAATGTCAAGAAAACGTGCAAGGTGTGAGTACATGCAGGGTTTGTAGCGGTCCTTGAAACCCTTAAAAACCCTTTAATTTCGAAATGGCATTTTCAAGGCCTTGAAAACCGTTAAATTTGTTTGAGGTCCTTAGAAGTCCTTGACTTTTGTCAATCAAACTTTCTCAAGCCATAATTTAATGAATATTTTTTTTCTTGCCAGGCAGCTATGTGCTCTCAAGCCAACAAACCATTCATTTCAGTTTGTTTTTCTAGCCATAGCGCAGTGTTGTAGTACAGTGTACTCTTCTAGTACACTGTAGTTGTGGTATAGCACTTGTATGGTTACAGCAGCAATGGAGCTAAGTCTGGCTTTTTTGGGGAGACTGTGCGTGGATATCCTCAGTCGCATGCCAGGCAACTATGCCGGGCAAGTGCAAATTCCAGCCGTCTTGGTCATAGAGAGTGGATTGCAATGGATACGTTAAACTATCATCAGACAAAGTCTTCTCAAGTAGGAAAAGTTTCGACGTGTCGTCAATGGAGGAGTCTGCTTTTAAAAGTCGCATGAAGAGTACGAAACACATTGAGAACACAAATCCGACTACAGTCTGGGGTAACTTGAGTGCGTTCATGGTGTAAACTGTACAAATAAGTGGAAGTACAAATTTTTATGCTGTAAAGAGTGGTGTTGCCATTTCCTGTAGTTTCAAGCGTTATTTTCAGTCCTTGAAAAGTACCTAAGTCCTTAAAAGTCCTTGAACTCCTTTGAATTTTGTTTCACTTAGGTGCTATAAACCCTGATATCACATGTTCCATTATTATACATGATACTGATGTTAGCATATTGGTCTATAATTACGCAGGTTTGAATATCACCAGAATTATGTATCAGGGATGACTTTTAGTTTTCCGATCCACTGGTAGTAATCCTGTATTAAGTGACTGAATGAAAGTGTGTTTTACCGTATTTACTCGCATAATCCTCGCACTCGCATAATTCTCGCACCCCCCACATCGCCCCCAAAAAATACGATTTTTTTTTTCCTCGAGTACTTATCGCACCCCCGAAAACTGCCGCAATAATGTCGTCTGCTCGTTCCAGCCATTGATGATGATAGCGCGCACTTCTGGCGCCATCTCTTAAGCATCAAACGTACTGCACGGAGATCCAATCAAATCCAAGCCAGCCGAAGTGGCCAGTGCGCGTTGCGGCGTGTTTTGTGTGTTGTGTCGGTAATCTTGGCACGTTATGGGGCGATACTGAAGCCACATGGCTGCTTCCAGTTGCAAGTGATGGATCATGCACTAAACAACGGCCACAGGGCCGCCGGTCTCCTCCTCAACTCATGAGGCACAATGGCATTGCAGAGCTCTCATCAGTGCACTAAACAATTTGAGATTTTACGAGTCTAGACCTCGAAAATGGAGCGATGACAGGCTGCGCGCAGCCACAGTGTCCATCACATAGTGCACCTGGCAGCACGCATGCTGTCTGGCAACAAAGAGTATCGTGAAGTGGTTCATATCTGCTCCGACAGGTGCCACCACCCTACCAGCTGACCTTACTTCCGTGCATTTTACAGCCCAGGATAGCCAGTCGGATCAGTAGCCACATTATCGTGGCTGCTGACGTGCTCTGGCCTCATCAAGTGGCTAGAGTACGTCACTCTGTGAATGGGCGGTTTAAAACATATTTGGCTGAGTCGCAACTATTTGCACCGATTCACTGCTTTAAAGCATTGTAATAAATTACACAGTTTATGCAGAGAGCTTAAATTGGTCTCTGGTTTAAATAATCTTTGGCATTTGATCTATTGGGCGCAATGTATTTCTACAAGGTCGCCAAAACCGTTTCGGGGTCGTTTAAGCATAATTACTAGAATCCCTCAAAAGCAGAACGACGATAGCTTTCGCTAATGGCAAGAAAAGCAGCTGGCAGCATCGCTATCAATTCTCAGCATTGCTGGATGAAAGGTATTTAGAGCCTTTCAGATAAAAAAATACTGCTTGTAAAATAGCTACATGCTTTTGGGATTAACTCCTGCAGCTACAAACTCTGTGAAGAGTGCGCTTTCTGTCGTGCCATAAAGAAATGTGTCTTGGAAAATGAGTTGTCAGTGCCTTTAAGTAGTACTGGCATGTTTCTTGGTGGCTAAAATTGCAGTTCCATGCATCTTGGGCTCTTGTCACCAGACTTGGGCTCATCATCGGCTAACTTGTTCTGTAACTGACAAAAAGCAGCAGCTATATTGTAACGAATTGTGGCACCAGCCGCTCTGTGAGTTGAATAGCACGGTCAATCTGACAACATCTAATCACATTGTGCACTTACAGTCAGGCTCTATGAAGACTTGATGGGGGACTGCTCACAACTATGTAATAGCATTAATATTGATGCATAATAACAAGATAATAGTGCATGTGTGAATTACTGAGGTAATTCCCAAGTGGGAAGTTCCCGCTTGAATATTTTTGTGTATGTGGTGTTAGGGCACACTTGCAGTGTCACATCAATCTCCTGTGGCCCGTCTTGCATGGGCACGCTCTGCAGGGAAAGCATGCAATCTATGAACGACCCTTTCATTAACAATAAATAAAACAGAAATAAATAAAACACTTAGGTGGGCATGAGTTAACCGGAGTAACTGCAGTAATTCAGCCATCACAGTTATCACGATGCCATTCATGGCACTGTCATGCTTTGTCCCCCACAGGCCCCTGGTTGTGCAGGCTGTGTGTGAATTGATGTCTGTGGTGCCCATGGTGTCAGTGCCTACGGTGGAGTACGAACGCTACGAACAGGACACAGCGGGCCGCCTCTGGCGACTGGCCATGACACCAGAGGCTGCTGCGGTGGTGCGGGGAGGGGCCTTCCGTGCCCTTGCAGCTTTTCCAGCCAACTGCCACTCTCTCAAGCATATGCCTGCTGAGGTGAGGCCTAATCTAACCTCTGCATGTGCTTTACGTGAGCTAACTGGCCCACTGTCCTGTCTGTCTGTAACCACCTTTGTGTTATTACAGTTAAACTTCAATGCAACAGTCTTCAGTTTATGTCAATATATTAGAGCTTTGTAAATCTAAAATTTAACCTTTTATTTCAGGTGAATTTTTAAAGGCCACATTTTTACGAAAAAAGTGCTGCAGGAATGTTCAAATAATATGGCAATATGAAAATAACCAATTTCATTAACATCAGCTTACTCAACTTGTTATCCGGCAGTAAGATTTCTTGTTGTGCTAGTAAAGTCACGATTAAAGCTGAAAGAAAGGCAGTTTGAAGGCACTACAGTAAAATACCTAAGGCAAAACTGTCATACCTGTTCTGTAACTATAAATGTGTTTTACATGAAATCAACTGCCAGCTCATAAGGTCACGTGCTACGTGATCTTCGTTCTCGGTGTCGGAGTCATCGGAATCCTCCGTAACATGACGAATGATTTCATCATCGGTCAAGTCCACACAAAGCTCGAGGTCTTTGTCAGCGTTGGCGAAGCCCTCAAAAATTATGCCGTCTGGAATCAACAGGCCGGCAGCACGCAGATCGTCGAAGGCAACATTAGTGTATGGCAGTTCATCTTGCACGTTGTCCACTTAGGGCGAGATGGCCGTCTCAGCGTCGAGCATGAAGCCCGCGTGGCAAAAACAGTTCCGTAGATTCTCTTGCATAACCGCCTTCCACGATTCCGTTAGCATGCCGACGGTAGACGTGAGGTCAACAGCGTAGCTTTTCCCTTGGTCGAAGCAGAGCACCATGTGGCTGAGCCTGCATGATTTGTATTGATGCTTCAAGTTCCAAATCACGCCTTGCTCCATCGGCTGCAGGATTGCTATGGTGTTCGGCAGCAGAAATTGAATCTGTGTAGCCATTAGCTCCTTGATGTGGCCATGCACAGCACAGTTATTCACAAACAGCAGAACTCTTCGATTTTGCTGCTAGAACCTTCTGTCCAGCTTGTGCATGTACGCTTCGAATAACTGCTGCATTACCCACGCCTTTTGTTAGCTTCATAGAAAACAGGCAGAGTCACAGTCCCCTTGAAACATCTTGGATGCTTCGACTTGCCTATTACTAGTAACGGGAGCTTCTCGCTGCCTGACATGTCGCTGCCAACGAGGACATTGAGCCGCTCCTTGCTGTGCTTGCCACTGTGGCTGGGGTCACGAGCAAATGCAAGCATTTTTTCTGGCAGCAGCTTGTAGAACAGTCCACTTTCGTCGCAGTTGAAAATATCGTTACATCTGAAGTAAGGACTGCAGCTTTTCATCCTGATATCCGGTGACAACGGAATCGTTGACGGCGCCGCTTTCCCCGCACATCGTCTTGAACTTCAAGTCATTGTGGCCCTTGAAATTGCTAAGCCATCTATCGCTGAACTTGAAATCCTTCATGCCCATCTGAAGCGCGACAACCTCCGCCTTCTGCTTCAGGATGTCGCCTGACACCGCGATTTTCTTAGTGATCATGGCACTGAGTCGCACGAGCGCTTCCTTGAGCTTTGGGTAAACACATTGGCTCGCATTCTCCTTTCCAGCCCTGGTTGATTTGGCAGCCACTTACAAGATCTTCGCCTTGTTTTTGATAAAGTTCGAAACAGTTTGCTTCGAAATTTTGAAGTCCCTTCCCACCTCTGCCTGCGACCAACCACGTTGGACCTGTTCAATGATGGTGGCTTTTTTGATGATGCCCGGTTGACGCATTCGCGGGCTGCGGTGTGTGCCGCTTCATTTCCCTCGAGACCTTCATGACCCGGAATCCACACGATGCATGTGTAGGGAGGAGGATTGTCCATGCGCTTTAGTAGCCTAATCGCCACCGTGGAGACCCTGCCTTTCAGATAGTTCCGTGTCTCTGTTTGTGAGTTCGTAAAGACCAGGATGGGATCCTCACTTGTCTGGGTGGCGATTGCTATAGCAGCCTCTTCAGCTGTTTCCACACGTTTGGCGAGGATAGTTGCCGATGCCAGTACCGCGCCCTTGTAAGCTGCGATGGTAATCGCGAAGGCATTACGTCCCGGATATTTGGCTGCGTCCACGTATCACGCCTGCGGGTCATTGCCATGCTTTTTCCGGATCATGTTAACTTTGGCGAGCCGCCTTTCTCGGTGATGTTAAGGATGCATGTTCCGAGTGATCTGCTGAATTTTAAGGCTTTCTCGCAGCTGTGAGGGTATTTTGCCTTTGCGTTCTTCGTTGGGTTCTAGGGTGGTCTGGTATCCTGTGCGTCGAAGGACGGCTTGCCCTGTGAGTGACAGCTTGAGTCTCGACCTGGTTGATGAGGTGTGCTTCGGTGAGTTCTTCCCACATACCGCATTTACTCGATTCTACCGCGCCATCGATTGTAACGCGCACCCGATTTCCACCGCGAAAAAAAAAAAAAAAAAACGTAAGACATCGATTGCAACGCGCACCCATTTTTCTCGCTGGCCCAAACGATCACACCACTCGAAAAAACGACTCCTTTCGTGAGCGTCTTCCATTTAAATATGAAGTACGGGCAAAGCTTGTGCTCATCTGACGTGTAAAAGAGCATTGCCGTCACTGTAGTTTTACCGTGGACCGATGTCAGCACATGAACTTGCTTCGCCCCCTTCTTCTCGACGGTTGTGGTGCCAGGCATGTCGAAGTAAAGAGGTTTCTGATCGGCATTCCCGATTTGCCCAAGCAGGTAGCCGCTGTTGCGCCGCAAGTTTAGGACGAACCTCTGAAAAGTGTGAAGCTTTTCATCGTATTCCTCCGCAAAACTTTTCGCATATGCATGTTCCCCTTCGGAGGAAAAAGCCTTTCCTCTTCATAAAGTTAGTTAGCCAGCACCTGCTCGCTTTAAACTGGCTCCGCATTAGACTTTTTTCCAAGACTAATTGCATAGCCCGCACTTGGAGCAGTTCTGTCGTCACGGGCCGCTGTGCCGCTCGCTGCTCAAGCACATACTCGCCGAGCAGCTCTTTAATTTGCGGAAACCGACCCTGCTGTGGTCCACTGAAGCCTTTGCGGGAAGCTTTGCTGTCCACAATCTTCTTGCTTTTGTTTTTGTTTCCGCCAGTCCCGCACGCACGTTTCGGGAACTCTGAACGACCGCGATGCGACCCGATTTCCGTCCGTTTTTGCACACGCGATGACTTTTCTTTTAAAAGCGGCATCGTGGTGCACTCGAGTTTTTGGAGTCAGCCCTTTCATGCCGTCGATGCTAATGCACTACAAGATGACGAACTCCTCAGCACACGTACGAAGTGTCGCACATGGGAAACACATAGGCAGAAATGGCCGACGCGCCATGCCGACGCACGTAGGGGGCGGCCATTTTGGATTTGCCGATGGCAATAGATTGACCGTAATTTTTTTGTTCGTACTCGATTCTAACGCGCATGCGATTTATGAACCCGCTTAACCGGAAAAAAGGTGCGCGTTAGATTCGAGTAATTACGGTATTATGAACTCCCATGCGAAACAGTCGGTCAGTGGAGGCGGCTGGCGGCAGTCCTAGGGCAAGCTTTGTAGCCTTTCGTATCAGCAGATTAAGTTTTTATTTCTCTGCTGTCTTCAGGTTTAGGTAGGGAGTTCTGTACGTTATGCGGTTGTAAAGGAGAGCTTGTACCATTTTTAGGGTGTCGTGCTCTTTGAAGCCACTGTGGCGATTAGCCACCCTTCGGATTAGGTGGGTGAGCTGTGTCACAATGTTCTGTAGCCGGGGTAGGGCAGCGGAGCCAGACCCATCTTTATGTATGTGTAGTCCGAGGACTCGAAGAGTGTCAACTTGGGGTATTTGGACTCCCTGTAGAAAGACTTGTGGGTCAGGAGTGTTGTAGCTTGGTGGTCTACCCCGGGTGCGTGCCGCAAGTACTAACAGTTGCGACTTTTCCGGAGCACATTGGAGGCCGCAGGTCTTGAGATATCCTTCAGTGATGTTAACTGCCTCTTGAAGTCGGTCCTCCTGTTCACCCGTGCTTGAACCTCTTGTCCACATAGTGATATCATCGACGTATAACGCGTGATGTATCCCAGGGACAGCGTCCAAGAGACGTGGGAGCTTAAGGAGGGCCAAGTAGAAAAGCACTGGTGATATCACTGAGCCCTGCGGCGTGCCTTTGTTAGGGAGTTGAAAAAGGTCGCTCCTGATATTGGCGATTCCTACAGTGGCAGTGCGGTTGGTGAGGAAAGCCAGCATATAGGCGCATGTCTTGGCACCGCAGCCGACATCTTCCAGGCTACGTTTTTTTTTCTGGAAGAAATGATTTTTTTATGGTTTTCCAGATACCTGTGACGCAGTGGCGATGAATGGCCCTTCGCAACTGCCATGACAACAGCAAATTCTGTCGTCGTCGCTCAAAAATTGCCTGCATGTGATTGGGCCTTAAGTTTCGTATTTGCATGATGCGACCGTCGGCTGGCGCGGGCAGTTTCATGACTTTCACTTGCTGTGTGCTTATCAGCTGTGATGTCTACACTCGCACCGTTTATGAGCCGTATTGTGGTGCATAGGTAATTTAAAATAATTGGGGACGTGCCGCGCACAGATAAAAAGAAAAGCAATGCACCGCATGGCAGCTGTCGAAGGGAAAGAGGAAGCAAGCCGAGAAGAGTCGGCATAATAAAAATAAATGCCAGGCCTGCGCGGAAAGCGCAGCACAGTCACAGCGAAAGCTAGAAGAGTGGCCTTTCAGAGCCTTTTCTCAAAACACTCATTGGCTAACTACTGCAAGCACACTTGCTTGATACTCACTAGAGCATTAATAATAAACTTTTGGGTAGTAGGCCGGCATTCGCTATGCTATTTTTCGTCATTCTTCTGAAAAGTGTGGTATCCGTTAAACACTTGCAGGGAATTTCGTGCCAATTGTTCATGCAGTGGCTGACAATGATAAGGAATTATGGCTGAAGTGGGTATGCGCCACCGTTAATAGGGGAACAAGAACGAGCTTTTGTAATGGATTGGAGCATTGGACGGCCCACTTGTTAGGCTATTCACATTGTGAGAGGAGTGGTTGTTCTTTGGCTGTTTCGAAATGTTTGATAAGTTGTATTAACGCGATTGCTTTCCTGACATCAAGCATGCCTAAGGCGAGTTTGCCAACAATTCACAAGCACCAATGTAGCTCAGTAGTAGAATACTGGGCTGGCACCCAGCAGACTCGGGTTTTGAGCCCCACTGTGTCTTTGGTGCTAGGTATTTTTTCTAATTTCGCGCGATGTGATAATGGACATCGGTGGCGGCGGTGGCAGACAACTGCGCGTGACTCAAGTTGTGATCGCATTACAGATCTCGCTGTAAAACGGAAGAGATCGAAAGGGCAAGGAAGCGCCATGTGTCGGTTGGCAGGGCTACAGTAGATAAATGTAGGGGTGCGTTTAATAAGCGGGGAAAAAAAATCAGAATTTCGACGACTGAAGTTGGGGGTGCATTTAGTATGCGAGTAGATATGGTCTATTTTTTGAGCCAATAGAAACTGATCCTCCCCAAGATCGTTTGAAACTAAAGAATAGTCTTGCATTGACAATGTTCTGCATGACATTTATCCGCCGAGCCTCTTTCGTGCAATGAGGACTATTGACATGAAGCTGTCCAAGGAGTTGACCGATGAACAGCTTTTTCGGACATGGTTTAAAGATTGTATTCAGAAAATTGTTCAAAGAATATGTGATAATGTGATTTTTTCAATAGGGTATCACTCCCATTTACTGAACAGTCTATAACACCCGTGCACAATTGAGTGTTGTGTATACACTAGGTGTTTTGTTATACATGGACATTTATACCCGCTTCGTGCCGTGTGGTGTCGTTGAGACAGGACAAATGGACCCCTAGTGACTTCTGCACAACTCACTGAAGCAGTATTGCCAGCTCAAAAGCCTCCGAGAATTAAAGGCATCTCACTTCTATACGGCAAGGGGAAAGGTGCTCGTTCCGTGTGTCTCCCCTCCTGCCACTATATAATACAATCTCATGGGGTGGGGGGAAGCCTGCCCGATTCTTGGTGGCACACCGATGACTTATCGCAGACGTCGTGTTGCTTTGTCGAAATGGGCAGAGTCACGACGATGAGCTATGCCTTGCCAGAAAATGGCAGTGACCGGCCGTGCAAAAATTTGAAGCCAGCTGAATTGGATGCTCTAACCCCTGTAAGTTCCTTATTGTAACACGTATTTGCGAAATTCTTGCGGCAGCGTGTTTACCCACCAAAAGCGTGCATATTTCTTTTCATTAAAATTTTTGTACCTCGGGGTTGTTTATTGGCCCTTTAAACATACCGTATTTACTCGCATAACCCTCGCACTTTTTTTTGCCGGAAAACCGATGCAAAGTTGGGGGGTGCGAGAATTACGCGGGGAAAGCTTTCTACGAAAACGTACAGAGCGAAAAAGAAAACGAAGTGGCCGCAAGTCAAGATCCTCACACCAGCAACTAACAGCAAGCTTCAAGAAGTACTAATTAAAAGCAGAGGTTCAATACAAGGCAAGATTTATTTGAGACACAAAAAGTGGAAGCAAAAAGTCGAGAACTAGAATACCATACGCAAAGCTTGTGGGCGTTGCGGGCGTAGCGGTGGTGTTTCTCGCTCAACAGGAGTCCTCAAAAGGTAAGCGTAGGTTGTCAGTATTGGGCTGATGGCTATTTAACAGAATCGCCCGCAGTTTTCTTCTGAAGAAATAAAGTTTACCATCAATCCCAGTTTTAGGCACACGGCAGGCCCAACGCGTCTTAGTGGCTTTCAGCTGCCGTCACCAGTAGCGAACAGAAAACTTGTAGGCCCCGAAGGGCCTACCCGCGACACTGTTGCCATTGTTTAGCGCATGATCTATCACTTGCAACTTGAAGCAGCCGTGTAGCTTCAGTATCGCCCAATAACATGCCAAGATTACCGACACAACATACAAAACACGCCGCAACGCGCACTGGCCACTTCGGCTTGGCTTGGATTGGATTGAATCTCTGTGCAATAGTACTCTTAATGCTTAAGAGATGGCGCGAGATGGCGTACACTATCATCATCAGTGGCTGGAACGAGCAGACAACATTGTTGCGTCAGTTGTCGGGGGTGCGATAATCACTCGAGGAAAAAAAGACATCGTATCTTTGTTGGGCAATGTGGGGGGTGCGACAATTATGTGAGTGCGATGATTATGTGAGTAAATACGGTATTTTTCAGAATCCTTCAGGTCAAGTTCAATGAAAGTTTAATTACTGAATCAAGCTATTTAAATATAATAAAGTATGGTGTACAAACTATTTTGCCATCCAGTAGCTGCTGTTTTTGCATATATTATAAACTGCAATGAAAAGTACTTTTGCTACAATGGGCAGCTTGAAACCTTATCTACTGTCTACATGCCATACTGCTGACAACCAGAATTCAGCAAAACTTGTAACCCCACCGCACCACCTCTTTTCTTTTTGAGGGTTTTTGCTTGCCCAACTTGTCACCGTGATTTCTCCTTCTCCCCCAGCTCTGCTCTCGCACTTGCCTTCTCCACTTTCTTTGCTTGAGAAGGTACGACGCATATACACATGAGCGCTAAAGAAATTATACACAGCCTTGCAAAGGCCAGTTCCCTTGGAAGATTTTGTAACATTTCAGATTTACTCCGCGATTCTTGCGGAGACTTGAAGACATGTTTAAATTGCTCGAGAAGACAACACATTGCACACGTAGAACACGGACATACAAAGCTCAGACTACCAACTGTGTTTTTTTCGTGAAGATGCAATTAATAATTGGTCACGGAGCAGTTGCACTGATAGCCTTACATTCTGCAAAAATGTGGGAATACAACATGCATGTTACAATTTTGGCAAGAACCTTCTATGATAGAGAGGGCTTGGCAGTGCAGGGGAATAGACAAGATAAAGTGCTAAACTGCCAATAATTGATTTCTTACGAAAGTGTTCACTTTTATACAGTCACCAGTTGCATCAGTCATGCGCAAAAAACAATAACATTGCTCAAGAACCTCACAAAGCCAAACAAAGGAACAACTTTTCTTTATGGGTGAGTGCAACAGAAGGGGTGCTAACAGAATTATTTTTTAATACCCATACTTTTTTGCCTCTATGATCTCGCATGTCATGCACTCCCTACATGTTGCAACTATAATGCAATCTGAAAGCCTTGGCCTGCACTCGCACGTGCTGCAATGAACAGTCAGCTACCCTTGTTTATAGCGATCAACATTGTACAGATGTTCATTTGGCACGCTCTATATGTTACTAACATGCCCAATCCCACTGTCTCTTAACCTTGTATGCCCATCAAAAAAATCTTTCTTTTTTGCATGTTAAAGATAATGAGGGTGAACTAACACATGTGTCACCTCTTTTTTCATGCAGAATGCCTGGGCGATCTCTTTCTGTTCTTGTTCTTGCCTTGGAAAGGAGTTTTGTTTCTAGAAAAAACTGCTGTGCAGTTCTTGCAGTGTAAGGGAAAATTAGTGCTTGTGCCAATGCACATGGATGATTTATGTTATTACATGCGTTCATTGAAGCAGCGTCCAGTCTGACAAATATACGATTGGCCACATAACGGAATTTCATAATTGAAATTTGATACTCTTTTAGTGTACTCAGACTTATGGTTCTTTTTGCACTCGCCAAGCCCATCTTTTTCTTTAGTTAGCATAGGCCAGACTTTCTTAAGCTTACGTGGTGTGAAAACATGACACCAATCCCGTGCCTCTCCACTAGTTTCTTGGTGTTGTGTGATAGATAATGAAAATATGGCACTGCAAAAGAAAGTTGTTGATTCGAGAGTTGCTGTTTCTTATCAGTTGACTTTATTTTCTGAAGTGTGCTTTCAGAAGCACTGTGGATTAAGTGATCCAAATACTCGGGAAACAACGGACATTTAACCTGACTGTTGAAACTGGTGACAACTGAGGGTGCACAGGATTTCAGTAGGGCTGAGAAGACACCAGACATGACGATGCCTCGTTTGGAGTGTACGCTCATGTAAGGCAAAAGCTTTGTTTGACCTTGGGTTGTATGACCAGCAAACGTGAATGTCGGTGAAATGCAGTTTAAGGTCTTAAAACTGGAGGTGGTTATTCTTGGTCAGTTCATGGGTGAAGATTGAGCCTTGCCTCTCAAAGAAGAAAGTATTGGGTGTTGTTGACATAGGTGAGGACATTGGTGCATCAACACTGTTAATGTCATTACTGAAAGGTTTATTTCAAATAATTGAAACTATTAACCCACTTCTGACACCATGTATGGGCCCAGAGATCAGCGTGACAGCAGGTGCGTGCGTCAGGCAGCTAGTGCTGCTCCGTTTATTCAGTCCGTCGCATTTATAATACACTCTGGGCAACGCCCCTTTGATCAACACGCGATAGCATCAAGATCGGGCGAAGCCCCTTGAGCTTATCGTGCGTAGCGCATGAGTGAGGCGCGATACGATACAATTACTAAAAGATTTATTTCAAATAATTGAAAACACATCATAGTAGAAAACATTCAGCACTACGTCAACATCTTCTGCTCATATCTGGTTTGGTGTTGTGTGACATTATGTTCTGGTGTGGTACAGTATGCACACATCTAACATTTCATGCATCACACCAAAAGTACATGAGGTATTTAAGATGTGACTGTCTTAAATGTAGCTCCTTGGCATATGCTTGCAGATTTTAAAAGAAATTGATTAGTGAGGCTTTCTAGCATGACATTTTGGCAGATAAAACATCCCTCATCTGTGCTACTGACAGACACTTACCAACCTGTGCCTGCCAAGTAACTTGTAGTTTTTTTTTTTTTATGTATGCTGCAGGCCAAGGTGAACTTGAAGGTTCCTGCCTCCAAGACTCCCATGGATCTGGGTCGCTCACCCGAGGAACTATTAACCTACACCCCAGGACACTGCTTCCTCGACCTGCTGGTTGCCATTGAGGACGACCAAGTTTTGCATGGTATGTACCTCTCGGTATAATACAGGCAGCCACTCCTAGAAAAGCCAGCATGAGCAAATAGCATATTCTACATGTAGCTGTTCATGGCTATGTTTGCGGAGAAGGAGATAACGGTGATTGAGCCAATTTGGGTGTTTTGTAGTTGCCAACTCTCGACTGGCACAGTAATGAATTTCTCAAAAAAAAAAAAAATTACAACAGTGGTTTCTGAAAATTTGTGTCCTTAGTCTGTTAAATTCCCTCAAAGTGCCATAGATATTTTTCCAAATATTTCAAGTAAGCACGCACATACATCGTGCTCATAATGTAGTCACAATCACCGATGCCACACGTGGCAGTGCCATAAGCCGCCGATGCGCTGCTAGTTCCAAGAAACAATTGCTTCTCCTCTCTTGGCCTTCTCAGTCTCGCCAGTGTCGCATACGTCAGCATGTCAAATCAGTGATGCTTTATACAAACTATCTGTAATTGTTTGAACAAGAACCTTCTGATTCCACTTAGTCTGCAAGCAGCTGCCCATGCTTCTTGCTGCTCGTTATTTTCCCAGTGAATGCGTATTTGTGGATCAGCATCTACTAGGCCTGCGTTGACTATGCAGTTAGTGCAAGACGGGCAACCATTGCAGAATGACAGTGTGGGTTGGCATGATAGGTCAGCAAAAATTGTGAAGCTCGCTCAGACTCACTCATGGAATATATTTTCTTGTGGGCTCACTTAGGCTAACAAAATTTTTCCAGAGCCAGACTCACACGGACTAACCCTCACAAAGATATTGTCACATCGAAGAATGAGGTGTATTGAGATGGGACGCAGCTGTAGTCTTAGTGCCCTTGAGTTTGAACCAAGGTTGTCGCTATCGCAAGGCACGTCTCATTCCTCTTTACCTCTTTCAACCCCAGACCCACTGCACACAAGTGCACATACTCAAACTATGATTACAACATCTTCCTTCAGGCAGACGAAGCCCACTGGGTGAGTCAGTCAATCTCTCTAGGAATGAATCGTTTTAAACAAACAATATGTGTAAGTTCAGTCTTTGCAGAACGTTCGCCATTGGCGTGAAGGCAAGCGATGCAGTAAGTCATTTCGCTAATTCGGTTGATAACAACATTGTTCTGACGTAGTGTGCCAGCAGTTTTTCACATAATTCTCGTTTTTCACTGGAGTTCAAAGGCACACCAAGTCACCGTGTTCATATCTGATATGACAGGGTCATCAGTCGAATCGTATCTTCAAGCATTCTTGCAAAGCAAGAGTGCTAAATGAGTGAAATATTAGGCCTCTTCTGCACGGCACATAGTCTCATATATGCAGACATTGTCTTGGTATAAAAGTGGGAAAATCATGTTGAGTGTACAGCGTGGCAGTCTAGCGTAAAAACGAAAGAAGGGACTGTGGCTGGCAATTTCATGATGTGCAGTGTTAAGGGAATAAGTAATGAAGGCTGAACATCATCCCAGTTTTTGATTAGATGAGACATTTATGGACAGCATGTTTGTAATAGTTCTGTTTATGCATTAAGCAAGACCGTTTGTTTCACGGGGTCGAGGCGTAGAGTGTCGAAAATAAAGGGCATGGACGAAGCATCTCTTCGACCACATCTCCCGTAAACTGGCATCCATGGCCACTAAAAAGTCACAGCTTTGCCTCAAAGATGAAGCAATGAATGCAAAAGCAACAATTTGGAAGGTCATGCGCAGAATGGAAAGCAGATCAAAACGTGCTCCAAGTTTTTCGCGAAAAAAATTACGCTCGAAACGTACTCACATGTACGGATGCACGCCATTAAGTGTCTCATTTGTTACTTTTTTTTTTTTTTTTTATTTGAAACAAAACCCGCAGCGCCACTTAGGCATTATTGCGGGGGGCACAGAGCCTCATAAAATGAATCCGCAGTCTTGCGGCCAACTACATCGGCTGGTAACGTGTTCCATTCAACAATGGATTGCGGAAAAAAGAATGCTTAAAAAGATCCGTTCTGGGGTTGTATGGCCGTACTTTAAATTTGTGATCATGACGGGAGGATTGATAATACGCTTTTTTAAATAATCTGAAGCATTAATGCCCGTTTTATTGTTATATATCGAATAAAATAGTTTTAATCTTAGATTACGTCTTCGATCTTGTAAGTATTGCCAATTAAGTTCCTGAGGCTGGGTCTCACCGAGGTCGTTGCTACGTCTTGAGCCTGGCTTGCGTTGTCCGCTACGGTCACACCAGGCGACTAGTTGATGGGTAGGCTCCGCCCCGCAGCCACGTCGCGGCTGGACACATCTGCTGGAGCTCGTGCCCGTAGCCCTACAGCTCCGCGTTGCTCGCACGGTAGACGAGGCGGCAACTTAAAGGGTATACGCACCACCACCGACCACGTACAGGCCGGACACCTCCGCTGGAACTCGTGCCCGTAGCCCGACAGCTCCGCGTTGCTCGCACGGTAGACCAGGTGGACCAGTTGGCGCGGTAGACCAGGCACTACCACCCGGCCGCGGTCCCGGCCGGACACCTCTGCTGGAACTCGTGCCCGTAGCCCGACAGCTCCGCGTGTCCTCAAGCACAGGATGCCTTGAAGCCGCAGCACGTCAGCGACGCACGGCCGTGGCAGGTAGAACGTGGCAGGTAGGCCGGGCTCGACTGTTACTAGGCTCGGGTCCGGAACCCAACGGCCGAGTCGAGAGCCCCGTCTTCCTCGTTCCTTCTCGTACCTTCGCCGCCACGCTACTCAGCGCTCGTGCTCCCTTCGTCGTTGTCTGCTTCAAGCGCGCACTTTGTATGGCGCGCACTTTGAATGGCGCGCACTTTGAAGCTTCGCGCACGACACATATCACAAAAGCCCCCCCTTAAATGAGTTTTTTCTTTCTTTTTTTTAAAAAAAAAAAAAAAAAAAAAAAACTGCTGACACGTGCGCGGTCTGTAAACCCCTTCACTGTATATGTCCTCTGTATAGTTCACATGTCGAGGTCCAATATTTACTAAATACACAAGAACACCGTTAAATACACTGACATACTTTGAGTGTCCAACACCCAATATCACAGTGCATGAAGTCCGAACTCTTGGCTCACAATCTACTCATGAAGTCCGCACCGGTATTCTCCGACCCTTTTATATGCTGAATGCTAAATGAGTATTCTTGCAATGCCAGGCTCCACCTCAGGACCCTACTGTTCAAGTGTTTGGCTCGGGCTAAGTACTGTAGAGGTTGGTGATCTGTTTGTACAACAAACTGGTCCCAACCTCTGCGAACATCATATCCGTCCGTGGTATGGGTTCCGCATCTGATATCAACACCTCGTTGATGCGACGAAAGTCTATGCATGTCCGATAAGTTTGATCTGGCTTCTTAATTAGCACCAAGGGGGAATTGTATGGCGAATTGGATCGCTCAATCACCCCGAGCTTGAGCATATCTCGAACTTCCTTTTCAACCACTTCTTTCATCGCCAGTGGTAGTGGGTACTGCGGAGTGCAAATCGGATCCGGTGTTGTCAGTCGAAGCGGGCATTCCAGCAAATTGGTCTTTCCTGGCATTTCGGAAAACACATCTTGGTATTTGGTCAGAATCCGCTGGAGCTCAGCAGCTTCCTCTTCAGCCAGCCCTTCACCTATATTAATTGTCTCCACCCCAGTCCCTTGGTCAATAGTGTAAACTGGTATAGGTGAATCTGCCTCCTCTTCTTCCATCACTACGAATGACGCTGTTTGTGTAAACCTCTCCGGTTCGCGATCCTCGTAACGCTTTAACATGTTGATGTGGAACAACTTGGTGTCACGTCCCAAGTCCAACCAGTAGTCATGACTGCCCTTTTTCCCTGTGACCTTAAAAGGTCCTTTCCATTGCATGAGTAATTATTTTCCGTAGTAGGGAGTAGAATAAGGGCCCGGTCGCCTACTTCAAGCTGACGTTTCGTGCTTCGCTGATCATAGTATTGCTTCTGTGATTTTCTTGCTCGTGTCAAGTTCTCATGAGCCAACTGCAGTGTTTTTTCAAGACGATCTCGCAGATCCAATACATATCCGTAAGTTGTCTTCGCCTCGTCGCCGATGTGTTCTCCAATCCATAATTCTTTTAACAAACTAAGTGGTCCTCTGACGTCACGCCCGTAAATAAGTTCGAAGGGAGAAAATCCCGTGCTGGTCTGAGGCACTTCACGATAGGCAAAAAGGAGTGGGGCAAGCAACCGATCCCAGGATCTTGGTTCCTCCTGGCAGAGCTTCCGCAACATCTGTTTTAACGTACCGTTAAATCGTTCCACCAACCCGTTACACATAGGATGGTAAGGTGTAGAACTGAGGTGCTTAATGGCCAGTAACTCGTTGACTTCTTTCATCAGTTCGGAAGTAAAACAAGATGCTTGATCACATAGAATTTCACGCGGGAATCCTACGCGTGAGAACATCTCCACCAGGCCCTCTGTTACTGTCGCCGAATCGATTGCTGGCAGGGCCACCGCGTCCGGGTAGCGCGTGGCGAAGTCCACCATGGTCAATATGTAGCGGTTTCCGTTTCTCGACACAGGTTTTAAAGGACCGATAATATCGATTGCCACTCGCTCGAAAGGGGTGTCGATCAACGGCATTACGCCCAGAGGCGCCTTGCCCACTTTACCTTTTGGATATGCTCTTTGGCAAATGTCACAGGATCGCACGTATCTCTTTACTTCTTCCTGAACTCCTGGCCAATAGAATGATCCTAGTACTCGGTCAATTGTCCTCTTGATGCCTTGATGGCCCGCCATCAGACTTTCATGAGCTAGCTGCAGTACTTGGCTCCGCAGTTTGCGAGGAACAACTACCTGCTGTACTATCTTGCCGGAGGATAACCGATAATGGCGATATAAAACTCCCTTTTGCATAACAAACGAATATTCTGTCGATCCTCTCCCAAAAAACACCTGCCCAACTTTGTTCCTACAGAGATCTAGGCTCTTGTCCTCCGCCTGCTCAATCTTGAAGATTCGTTGGTTGATATTCAAAGCGGTTGCTTTCACCGAATCCAACGA